CAATTGCTTGCCCCGCCCTCCACCTTACATTGCTAGATTAGCTTCTGTGAAATGGTCCTGTTGGAATATATCCTTCAATCAGAAGCATGCAGCTCATCGGCTTCAGTGTTAATCAGTGTATGCTGACATCAGGGAGTCCCACTGATGTCACAGTGGGAAGGATTCCTCCATCTGCCTCATTTGTGTGGATAAGGGGAATCTGTTCATTTTTTTTCTTCTGTCCACCAGAGGAACAAAAAAACTAATTGTGAATATTCCGTCTTAGACTCACGCCACAAAATAATAAAAATGTGTATAACCAGCTTTAGCTAAATGTACCCCACAGGGCCCCACCCTCCTAGTTCCCATCCCTCCTTCATACCACCACCACATCAGTCCTCCTAAAGATGGGTAAAGACAGAATTGAAATTGAATTGAAACTCAGACAGTTCAGCAGGGACCAGCCAAATTTCAATCTGTGTGTGGCCCTCGACCTTTCTGTTTGACAGAATTTGATTGGAGGATCGACTTCTATAAATTGTCCATGCTATAAAACTTTGATCAGTGGCCAACGCCAAACGTCTGCAGCCACTGATCAGTGTATGCTGACATCGGGGAGTCCCACTGTCAGAATACAATGGCACAGCGGTGATGGATTCCTCCATCCACCTCACTTTTGTGGAGTTGGGAATCTGTTAATTTTTTTTTCTTCCACCACCAGCTGAACAAAAAAAACTAACTGTGTAACTCAGCGTTAGACTCACACCACGGGCACAGGGACATCTTTTCCTTCCAGTGACAACACCAACACGCAGGCATTTTTCTTCACACTGATGCATTTCTTTCTACATCACTCCAATATTTTTTTTTTTTTTTTCCAAAAAAATAATGTTTATTGTGAAATACAGATTGACATAATAAGCTAAGATAAACATGAAATGTGAGAAAGACAATTAGCAACACACACATCCAGTCAAGAGTGCATGAAAACAAGTACAATTACAAAAACAAAGCAGTGTGGGGTAACTAAACCACGACACGGTAGTGCCTGAAATACATTAGGACGCTTGTAATGAAACGCGTTAGGCCAGGAGGCCCCACCTCCTCTGATAATGTCACAAAGTGTGGATCTGCAGCGGGGAGAAGAGCCAAACGACGTCTAAGCCAGAGTCAGTGCTTAAGTTGAAAGTGGTGGAGGCGTCTGAGCGCGGATGTGAGAATGTGTGATCAAGTATACTGCTAGTTGAAAGGGGAAGTGATTCTCATCATAGCTAATTGTCCTTTGGGTAGTTGACCAATGCATGCAGAGGTTAGTCTGAAATGAAGAAAAGAAGCCATAGAGCACAAAAAAAGAAAGGGGGGGAGAGTAAGAGAGAGAAGAACAAAACAAAACAAAACAAAATAAAAACAAAACGGGGGGGGGGGAAAGGAGCACACAGGGGGTGGGCAAATGAGGGGAATAACAGAGTGATTGTTATCCATTTACATCCCAAACCTTTCCAGCCTGTCATCACCGGTTGGGGAGGAGGACGGGGGTTCACAGAGTCAAACGAGAGTTTCAGGGGGTTTCTTCACCGACTGTGAGATCATTTCACTACAGAAAATGTCATCGGTTTGCAATCAACTCCTCCATATCCGCTATTTTTTCCCACTCGGGTGAGCCAATGGAGGGAGGACTTCGGTGGAGCCCCACTACCCCAATATTTTACTGCGGGATGGAATCTACTGCTATTAAACTCATATGTTTCATTTGTTTTGATGAGGCGTGTTGTGCATGTCGCTACAAACTTCATCCCACCCCCTACTCCACCTGGGAGCGGGGTTTTACATCTTCGCCCTGGGCACTGAATGACACGGTTCACAGATACTTACTCTGTGAGCATTTACTTGTGAGCGGCCACAAGTAGCTGCAGGAGCTGGGACTCCTTTGCTTTCAATGGGACTGCCACCTGCAGCTAACCACTGAGACCTTCCACTGGATTTCCCATATGTAATCATTAACAGCCCCATTTGCAAGTGTGAATGGGGCCTAAAGCTGAACTTGTGACAAGACAAAAACACCTCAGGCAGCTTCTTTTTCCAATTTCCGTTACAGATATTTATTCCAACTCAGTTATTATAAACCAAAAGCTAGTTCTATTTTATGGAGAATGTATTCTTCCTTTTTACCTCTGGTTTCCAACACTGATATGTGGATTTTCCAGATTAACATTAGATGGTAATGAAAATGTAAACCTTTAGCACTTGTTTTTAATTTGTGTTTTTCTGAGCTTTCCTGCATTTTAATGTGTTTTGCTTTGTTCTTAATATGCCAAAATGTGGATTAAAAATGCAGCAAAACAAACGAAATATCAGTCAAGTGCTAAAAATGAACTTTGAAGCGTGCTGAGGAACATTTATTAAGTAACTTAGTGACAAAGGCAAATCAGGCTGCCTGTCAGTTAGCAGACTCTCTGGGGTTGATTTGGGGTCCTTTCACACGGGCGTTCCGTATGTTCGTTTTTCATCTGTCCATTTACGAATGAAAAACAGACACCCATGTATTTCTATGGATTAGCATTAATGTATGCATCCGTTAACATCCATTTTTTTTGAATGGAAGAAAATCGTATTTTTCTTCCGTAAAAAAAAAACGGACGACCGAACGAAAAAAACGGATGTATGCGGATGTAAACGGATTAAAAAAAAAATGGATGTAAAACGGATCTAAACAGATATGAAAACAGAGGAAAAAAGTGAAATAAATAAATATAAAATATATATAATACATAAAACAATCTCTCAATAGGTAAATATAATCGTGATAATATTAAAAAAATCATTTATTATCATTTATTTATTATTATAATTTTTTTCTCTTAAGTGTGAGTATACGTTATGCAGTTAAACATAAAACGTCAAAGTGCAGCGCTTAAAAAAGTAAATAAGTGATAAACAGTAATAAAGAGTCAATAAAGCATCCACAATGTTTCACTGGAGAAATGCGAACTTCCACGGCCTTTTACTCCTTCAAATAACAGAAATGCGCACTCACCAGAAAACGCATGGATTTGCGCATATACAATCAGACATCCCAGGTGATAGGAACATCAAAGGTTAGGCAGCAGGCATTTTCCTCATGATGGGTCATCACAGACACCTGGGTCAGGTCCAGAGGTTCCCCTAAGGTCAGCCAGGCACTCCACACAAAAGCTCCTCTTAAGATGGCAGTGTGCTCTCTCTGTGGGAATGATAGCTCCACATAGGAGCCCCAGAAAACAGATGCCAGAGATAGTGTAGTACTTCCCAAAAACTTTTTATTTCATGTAAAACGCATAACAGGGCAGTGTGCATAATCAGTTTCATATGTGAATAGAAAAAGCAGCAGTACTGACCCCAATAAAAATGGCCGCCGGGCCTCCTCGTGGCTCCGGCGGTGATATGACGTCACGCTCTGCACAGCTCCTCCTTAGGCCTTTCGTGCTACAGGCACATCATCAGAGGGGAGACTGATATACGTTATGCAGTTGGCATGATACACGGTTTTTCACAAGTTTGCATGTTTGATCAGTTTAAAGGTAATACACTATTATTAGTTTATTTTTTTGAGGTTCACAGAGAATTTTGGAGATTCCATTCTGGATGATTGAAGAGGGATACGAGTTGTTTTGAGAATTTGGAAAGACTTTTCTACAGAGACACTTCGGACATTCTTTGCATTTGGGCAAACTAGGTGTATATTTTTCTGGGATTTATTTATTTATTACTATTCATATTTTATTATTTATTTTTGTATTCTATTTATTTATGTAATATGTGTATTGAGTTAGATGTATTTAGGTGTAAAGAAGAGTTTAGTTATATAGACTGTTATTAAATCCCAAAATTGTATTTGTGTTTAATTCTTTAAAAGTCTAATCTAAACCTGTGTAGAGAAGCTTACAACAATAAAACATTTCCTTATTGATAAATACTTGGTTGATCATGACATTTCCATGGACTTCCTTACTCATATTGGCAATGATATAGCAGTTGATTCTCTGCCTGCTACTTTGCCACTCTCTTTGCACATGCTGTGCCCTGTGTAGGTTAGTCACTTTATCCTTTCCTCTGTAAACTGTCCCAGGTGATTATTTTTGTTGACGTGAGGGCTGGCTCCAGCAGGTTAAATGCCAGTTAGCTGCTCCTCTGCTATCTATCTCTGTCCCTCCTCAGTCCACCATTTAGCCCTCATGCACACTGGACATTTTGATAATGCTGCTAACGTTACCTGTGAAAAGTCACGTTAAAAACGTGAGTTTTTTTAGCTTTTTTAGCGTTTCTGCATTAGCGTTTAGCAGCATTTTGCCGCATTTAGTGGCGTTTTCCCGTGTTTTTCCACGTTTGCGTTTTTTAGCATTTGTTTTTACAAAAGAACATTTTTTTGTTGGTCAAAAAAAGTCCAAAAAATGCAGCATTTTACCATGTTTTACAGCGTTTTGCATACTTTTTCAGCATTAGAGCATTTTTCCAGCTAAAAAATTCCTCTAGAAACCCACTAGTCCTGGTTTTTTTTTTCCAGCCACAAAACATTGATTACAGTCTGTGTGTGCATGGACACATAGGATACCATGCTGGGGGGTTTACTAGCTGTAGAAAAAAATGTCAAAAGCCAAAAACAGCCGCTGTAAAAACGTCAAGTGTACATGAGGACTAAGCCACTCTCACCCCCACCTGCAGCCACCTATCCTATGATGCCTGTCTTCCTTCCAGCAGTGACTGCTCTCTCTTCTTGTGCCTGTGTACCATTGTGGCTGAGCGACAAGCCTGGTTCTGGCAGGATTGCCCCTCCACTCCTATTGGCCACGTAGTAGCTGAGGGGAGAGGAACAGGCATCATCCAGCAGCGGCTGTGGGAAGAGGAAGAGAAAGAAAGGGGAAAGTTCAATACAATTACATTTGCTTCCTCTCCCCTGCTCTCCCACCTTATGGAATTTTTTTTTTACACATAAACACAACAAACTAAACATTCTGCTTGTTCTGTCCCCTTATCTCACATTGCAGTGTGGAGTAGGTACCAGGGGCGGACTGACCATTCGAGAACTCGGGCACTGCCCGAGGGCCCGGGGTCAGTAGGGGGCCCCGTGAAATGCCCCTGCTACCTTTTGTAGGCTTTTTTTGAGTGTGGGCAAGGACACAGGGGCCCCATGATCCCCTATTGCCCGGGGGCCCCATGAGTTGTCAGTCCGCCCCTGGTGGGTACACTACATCACTTTACCAAACTTTTTAGAAACAAAAAAAGGTATTTATATTCTTTATTTTCACGTGACCTATTTATTTTCAGGTGAGCTACACGTACCTCCATTGTTAGGTTTGCTGATTTTAGCTTTGAACTTTGCTTTACATGACACTTTAAGAAGTGGAAGAGGGCAAGAAAGTTGCGCAAAAGTAAAATGAAAAATAAGCCGCTGGCAAAACAATCAGATAAATTGTGTAAATAAATCGCCGTGCTAAACCATCATTGATTACAAATGTGTACATAGATAATGGAAAAGTGTATGGTAAACATCATCAACATGACGCCCTAAATCCAGTCCAAGTAAGGAGAAACTTACAAAATAGACCCAAAGTCCTGGTATATGTGAAGTTATGCACCATGTGTCTTTGGTAAAACAAGTGCACCACCACCATGTATTAGTAGGACTCTTACCAAAACATATGGACTCTTAACCACTTGCCCTCCTGAGGATTTACCCCCCTTCCTGACAAGGCCATTTTTTGCGTTACGGTGCTGCATTATTTTAACTGACCATTGCGCGGTCATGCAACGCTGCATCCAAATGAAATTTACGTCCTTTTTTACCATGAATAGAGCTTTCTTTCTGTGGTATTTGATCGTCTGTGCATTTTTTATTTTCTGTGCTATAAAAAAAAAAAACGACAATTTTCAGAAAAAACAATATTTTTGACTTTTTGCTATTAAACATGTCCAGTAAAAAAATAAAAAAAAAATCAAAATGTATTCTGCTACATCTTTGCTAAGAAAAAAAACCCTCCAATACGTGAAAATTAATTGGTTTATTTGAAAGTTATAGTGTTTACAAATCGCGGTATAAATACTGGGATTTTTTAAAATTTTAAATTTTTACTAGTAATGGCGGCGATAAGTGACTTATAGCGGGACTGCGACGGCCATTCTGACACTGGGTGGAACTGACCTGGTGTCACTGACATCCCTAGTGACACCAATATTGTGATCAGTGCTAAAAAAAAAAGCTCTGAGACTGTACTAATGGCAGTGGGCAGGAAAGGGTTAACAGGAGGGGCGATCAAAGGGTTAACTGTGTGCTGTGTGTTGTTTTACTAAGTGCTGTGTTTGTGTGCTTCACTATAAGCACACTGCTTTGCATGGCTGTGTTGTGCACAGCCATCCAACGCAGTGTGCACGAGCTGACAGGGAGGAGAACTGTTCTGTTTACAAACAGTTCTCCCCATCGGAGATGCTCGGCAATCACCGGGCGCCGGCGAGTAATAACCGGTCAGGACCCGGTGATTGACAGCCGTTGCCGGGAATGGTATCGCAGGTAAGGCGCACGTGCCCCCTCCCCAGAAATGCAAAGTCACGTATATATACACGTGATTTTACGCACCCTTGCCGCCCTGTAGCAGTATATCTGCTATAGGGTGGTCAGGAAGCGGTTAAACTAATAAGATTCATAAATGCATGGATATAATGGCTTGGAGATATGTATCCACCATTGCTCTCAAACGAGAAAAGATGATGGACAACCAGTATTAACAGGAGGATCCCTTCAGGCTATCACCATCCTATAAGTCTCTCCAGTGTATATAACCAATCAGTCTGACAGTAGAATGTTCCCATGATTCTGACCTATGAGAACCACCACTGTAAAGTTGATTCGATTAACACCCCAACCCAGGGGCGGACTGACCATTTGGGCCTGGGGTCAGTAGGGGGCCCCATGAGATGCCCCTAGTACCTTTTTCTTAGGCTTTTTTGAGTTTGGGCAAGGACACATGGGCCCCATGATCCCCTATTGCCTGGGGGCCCCATGAGTTGTCAGTCTGCCCCAGCCTAAGGCACGTGAATTGTAGTAAGGTGGAAGATTATAGGGACTAAATACATTTGAAACCTTTGTAGGGGTTAAACAATATAAGGACATTATGTGATAGGAAACATTTTTTGAAAAGTAAACTATTTATACCTACTGAGATAATCCATCTTCAGCAGATGGAACTTAAGCCCAAATACTGTTTTTGGTATTTTGGGTGATTGCCGCCAAAAGCTGAGAGGAGGAAGATCTGTGTGTAAACAACAGTCAGCATGGACATGCTGCTTTCTCTCTGCTGTGCATGTCTCCAGCATGTCTCCTTAGTACACACAGCACCAGGGGTGGACTGACCATTTGGAAACTCAGGCACTGCCCAAGGGCCCGGGGGCAGTAGGGGACCCCATGAGATGCCCCTGGTACCTTTTTCATAGGCTTTTTTGAGTTTGGGCAAGGACACAGGGGCCCAATGATCCCCTATTGCCCGGGGGGCCCCATGAGTTGTCAGTCCACCCCTGCACAGCACACAGTGTAAGCACAACACACAGTTAATCCTTTGATTGCCCCAGATATTAACCCCTTCCTGCCCAGTGTCATTGGTACAGTGTCAGTGTTTTTTATTAGCACTGATCACTGTATTAGTGTCACTGTAGAAGTCAGTGGCTGTTAGTTCCCACACAGTGTCAGAATGCCCGCCACAGTCCCACAGTCCCACTATAAGTCGCTGATCACTGCCATTACTAATATAAAAAATAAATAAAAATTCCAGTATTTATAGACCGTTATTTGTAGACACTATAATTGTCACATAAACCAATTAATTTACACGTTTTGGGATTTTTTTTTTTTAGCAAAGACATGTAGCAGAATACATTTTGGCCTAAATTTATGAAGAAATTTTGTTTTTTAAATTTTTCTTATTGGATATGTTTATAGCGAAAAGTAAAAAATAAAATAGATCAACAGAGAAGGGCGATGGAATGCTCCTATTTGTCTACTGCTGTGCTTCATCTACACATGGGGCTTAGCTGCATATAATTCATGTAAATGACTTTATCCTTTATTAATGAATGATCTTACACTAATGCGATCCCTGCTCTTATTGATTGTTACTAAGATTCAGACCTGGGAGACTGCAATTCTACTGAAGCACCACTGCCAAAGTGATATTGACCTTGAAAAGTGCGGTAATAATTCAAGTGCAATTAAGGCTTCATGCAGACTGGGCATTTACTGTAGCCCCTTTAAATTTCATTACAGTGTTTTTATGCTGGTGGAAGGCACATATGCACCATCCAGTGGCTCTTCTGGAAGACTATAAAACTTTATGAAAGGGCTGGACAATATATATCTGCCTTCTGTCAGCATGAAATATCCAGAACCTCATGCACAGGGGCAAAACACCCATTGTAAATGAGGTCTAAAGGTTGAGCTGATTCCACAGAAAAAGTCATTTGCCTGAACTCAAATGTACTAGGCAGAGTCTTTGGCTGCATCAGGGTGGCAATGGAGTGAAAGCAAGGTGATTATAAGGATCCTTTTGCAGAGACACTGTAACTTCCCCCTGTAGGTAAGGCAAGAGGTTCTATTTAACAGAATTAAATTATACCCTTTTAAACATTTTTTTTACCCAGTCCATTTTCTTTACTTTTAGGAGGTCATTGGAGGCAGCAAAGTTTGTTGATCACTGCAGGATAGTTTTTTTTCCATCAAGAACTGTGTTATGTCTTTGAGTCTTGAAATCCAAATATTGCCTCATGAAAACTAAATGTAATGCTGACTGGTGACCTAATGTGCCAAAACGTCTTGCTTGAAGAAGGATTTTATAGTTGGATTGTCCACAAGCTGTGTCAGATGCTGAATGGTTTCCACACTTAAGGTCATTTGTTACAGGAATGAGAAATCGTCTGTATGGCATAAATAGCTCATATGAATTTTTTTAAATATTTCAAGAAATGACACAGAGGGGGATTAAGATGTCAGTACTTTTGGAAAATGATGCCTGCATAATTTGTTGATGCAGTGTATGCAGTATGATCAACAAATACTTTCTCTTCCTGAAAGCTCTTATAATGGTTAGCTTTTCTTGTGAAGGTTAAGAGTAGCTGAATGAAACAGAGAAAACATGTCTGACACCATTTTGTGTTGAAGTAAAGAAGACTATAGACTATTGTTATGTTTTGTAAATACACATAAAAGGGATAAGATTAGTAAAATTAATATTAACATATTTTAACCGCTTCCTGACCACCCTATAGCAGAAGGTAAGGGGCACAGGCGCGCTCTACCCGCACTGCCATTCACGGCTGTCAGTCACCGAGTCCTGGTCAGTGATTACCGAGGATCTCTGACGGGGAAGAAAACTGTTTTGTTCTCCTCTGTCAGCTCGGGTACATTGCTTTGGATGGCTGTGCACAAAGCAGTGTGCTTACACCACCCCATAGTAAAACACACCCAGCACACAGTTAACCCTTTGATCGCCCCTCATGTTAACCCCTTCCTGCCCAGTGTCATTCGTACAATGTCAGTGCTTTTTTTTTTAGCACTGATCACTGTATTGGTGTCACTGGGGATGTCAGTGATACCAAGTCAGTTCCCCCCAGTGTTAAAATGTCCGCTGAAATCCCGCAGTCCCACTATAAGTCGCTGATCACCACCATCACTAAAAAAAATCCCGGTATATATACCACCATTTGTAAACACTATAACTTTCACGTGAACCAATTACTGTACATGTATAGGGATTTTTTTTTTAGCAAAGACATGTAGCAGAATACATGTTGGCCTAAATGTATGATGAAATTTCTTTTGTTTTTTTTTTTACTGGACATGTTTAATAGCAAAAAGGAAAAAATATAGTTTTTTCTCAAAATTGTCACTTTTTTTTCATAGCGCAAAAAATAAAAATGCAGAGGCGATCAAATACCACCAAAAGAAAGTTCAATTCATGGGGAAAAAAGGACGTAAATTTCATTTGGGTGCAGCATTGTATGACCGCGCAATTGTCAGTTAAAATAACGCAACGCCTTAATGCAAAAAATGGCCTGGTCAGGAAGGGGGTAAATCCTCAGGAGGGCAAGTGGTTAATATTTAAAGAAAATAAAACATTAAAAAAAATCTTATGAATGTGTTTTAATATTTTCTTCTTTCAGAAGGGTGCCTTGTTGAGGTGAGCAGGCTTGCTTGCATCAAGGAAGTTAAAAGCTATGGTGCCTGGAGTTTTAACTCATTTACATCCTTACGGTGCCTTAATGACATTAATGTGCATTGTGCC